ATAAGAGGGTAGTGCTATCTTGGCGCCTCTAAATATTTTTCATTGATAAAGTATTTGTTAAATTCATATATATCCATGTAGAACAGTAAAACGATTGAATTTTTGCCACATCATTATAAATTGTCACATTAGAGTCAAATGCGTTTGGCCAGAGGGAAAGTTGACAGTTTGATAATTATTTTATTTAAAATAAAATATTTAACTCTTGTATGGACATATTCCTTTTTAAAAATAACAAATGATCAGTCAAAATAAATCCATGTGACATAGTTAAATGATTGGCTTAGAGGGCCACGTAAGCACAAATTGGTCACGTCATACCTCTTTTTTATTACTTGTCATCCTTTATAAAGTTTGTGGCATGATTCATAAGGTTTCTGCCTTTCTGGTGTGGTTTTTCGTCTTTCTGACATGCTTCATGAGAAGTACATAGTGGTTGCACATATTTCTGGTATGCTTCATGAACTTGTGGTCTTCTTTATGAGGTTCTAGTTAGTTTCAGAGAACTTGTGGTCTGCTTGATGAGGTTTATAGTATGCTTCAGAGAATTTTTTATATAATTTATGAGGTATGTGGTTAGGTTAATTTGGTACGTCACCAGTGATCTCCGGCGATGATGGCGCAATTATGATGGTCGGAGATGGTGTTGGTCGTTGATGGCTTCCGACGACAATGATCGACTGACGAGAGTTGTTGAAAATATAATGGGTTTTTATGATGGTGACTGACGAGAAATGATTGTTCGCAGAGTGTATTTGCGGAAAAAAAGTTTTTTTTGTTAGAGGTATTTAAATAAATTTAATTTGTTTAGGACTACAAATAAGCCTTAGGGCTACAAATAGCACATCCATATATAAAACGTTCAACCCATCACAAGAGGTAGCTAACTCCAAGCTTAAACGAAGAGAGCTTTGTACACCACTTTCTACATAGTCCACTTCATATTATAACCTTATAAAGCGGGTAGTTGATCAAATGATGACATAAGTTTATACTTGTAATAAAATGATGACAAATATTTAGAAGATTGATACCAGTAAGAATATTATTGATACCAGTAAGAAGATTAGCTTACCTTGGATTCTCACCGAAGACTTCAACGTTTATGGTTCACCGGAAGAAAAATCAGACAAGCCTCTCCCGCAACCATCCGATCATTGTGTAACGACATCTGGAATGAAATTTTCTTGGAGACAGCTGGGCACTACTCATACATACGGGTATCAAGTAGTCTTTTATCAAAGTTTCTGGTCTTAAACAGGGAAGGAGCTTTCGGATATGGGTGTCCATTTCTTCAAAATAGGAGAGATATCAGCTAAGATCATGAATTTTAATATGGTTCTCATTCCTAAGGTGGATCACCCTGAATCAGCAGCGCAATTCAGGCCTATTTGTTTAAACAATGTGGCCCTGAAGGCCATAACCAAGACTATAGCGAACCGATTCAAGTCGATCATGCCAAAGTGGATTTCAGAAAATCAAAGTGGCTTCATCCAAGGAAGACAAACCAAGGATAACACAGTAATCCTTCAAGAGGTCATCCATTCCCTGCGTAAAAAGAAGAACAAATCCGGAGGTCTAATTATCAAAGTGGACCTGGAGAAAGCTTACGACAGGCTTCGATGGGACTTCATTTGAGACACTATAAGGGAAGTGGGGCTACCAAGTACATGGATTGCTCGCATCATGACTTGCGTGGAAAACAACAAGGTGACGATAAATTGGAATGGGAAACAAACGACTCCAATTACTCCTACGCGAGGAGTCAGGCAGGGAGATCCCTTATCCTCATTCTTGTTTGTTCTATGTATGGAAAGATTGTCCAATTGTATTAACCAGGCAGTAGAGGAAAAGCTCTGGAAACCACTTACCCTTTCAAAAGATGGACCAAAGCTCTCCCATCTATTTTTCGCTGATGATCTTATTCTGTCCGCAGCTGCAAAAGGGAGACAGATCAGTGTCATTCGCAAATGTGTGGAAGATTTCTGCAGCAGCTCGGGCCAAAAAGTCAGTCTCAGCAAATTGGTGATGTGGGTAGCGCCTAGCACTCTGAGAGATAAAGTGCAACAGCTTAGCAAGCGAGCTGGCATTCCACTCACTTCGGACCTGGGGAGGTATTTGGGCATCGATGCTATCTCAGGAAGAGTGCAAAAGACTCGCTATCACGGCCTGACAGTCAGAATTCACAAAAATTAGCATCTTGGAAAACTCGACATCTGTCGCTCGCTGCCCGGGTAACCTTGGTGAAATCTCTAGCCTCTTCCATGACTATCTATCCAATGTTTATTGAGTTACTGCATGTTTCTGTTTGCAACTCTTTTGACAGGATTAACAGGCGGTTCATCTGGGAGAGGAGGAGGAGGAGAAGACCAAATTCCACCCTATTGGATGGGAGCACATCACTTTACCTCGTAGCCAGGAAGGGGCATGGGTTAGGCCGACCAGAATTGCAAACCAAGCAATGCTTGCGAAGGGAGCATGGAAACTCATCACCAATGACCACACAATGTGGGCTAGAGTGATCATAGCGAAGTACGCCATTGGCAGACAAGGAATGGACATTCTTCATCCAAAACAGGGAAGTTCCTTCACCCGGAGGAGCTTTGCACAAGCCGCAACGACTCTCCGCAAAGGTGCAGCTCTAAATGGTAAAATGGTAAAGGAAATAATTTTTGGACAAATTATTGGATTTCGCAGGTACCTTTAAAGGATTTGGCAGAGGGAGATATACTCCCAGATCAACTTCAACTTCTGGTGGCTGATTATTGGGACCCGGCGAGAGGTTGGAAGATGGAGGATTTCGAGGGGCTGCTCCCACAGGACATCACAAATTAGATCAGAGGGACCTTGCTGGATTCATTAGCCACGGATGGAGATCAACTTTTCTGGAAGCTCTCATCAAATGGCAAGTTTTGTACCAGAATAGCTTTCAAGGCCCTTTCCCCACAGCTGCAAATAGGAACATCGGGCTTCTGGAAGAAGATTTGGAGACTTAAGTGCCCGGAAAGAGTTCATATGTTCATTTGGCTGGCAGCGAAGGGACGACTCTCAACAAACACAGTTAGGAAATACAGGAAGGTCACCAATGACGATAAGTGCCCACTCTGCAGAGTTGAAAGAGAAACAAACCTTCATTGTTTGAGAGATTGCACAAGGGTGAAGAGAGTTTGGGAAAAAAGCACTTTCCAATCGCCATAATGAGTCCTTCTTTGCTCAAGATTATAACAATTGGATCCGCACCAACCTGGAAGACAACGAAGAAGGAGAATGGCCAGGGGAATGGGCAAGCTATTTTGCACTCATCTCGTGGTACATCTGGAAGCACCGGAATGGGAACATCTTCAAAGGGAAAACTCTTACTCCCTCCTCCTTGGAGAACTATGTCTTAAGTAAAGCTAAGGAATGGATTCGTACTAGGGAAACAGCTAACATCGATCTCCTTCGACAACTCGACAGACATCGGAGAGAGGAACTAATAGCTTGGAAACCGCCGACAGCGGGATGGCTCAACATGAACACCGACGGGTCTGCTCAAGGCTGCTCGGGAATAATAACTGCAGGGGGAGTCCTAAGAGATACTCACGGAGAATGGATTGGAGGCTTCTGCTGTAAAATTGGATCAGGTACTGCAATTCTAGCTGAGCTTTGGGGAATATATCATGGTCTGGATTATGCATGGAAACAGGGAGCTCGATTCCTCATGCTTGAAACAGATTCACAGTTAGCCTTGAACCTCATTGATAAAAGCAAAGACCCAGTGCATCCGCACTCGACGATTCTGGCTACCATTAGAAGACTGCTCGCACAAGACTGGGTGGTCAAATTAGAACATACATATCGCGAAGGGAATAGAGTCGCAGACTGACTCTCAAAGCACAATCTCGTCTATCCCTTCGGAGTGTATGAACTGTTGGGCCCCACGGGTGAGGCGAGAGAGATCATCGAAGAGGACATGAGAGGTGTTAGCTTCCCTAGAAGAGTGATATGTGATATGGTTGTTTCGTTTGTAAACTAGACCTGTAATCTTGGCTTGAGACTCCTCATTTCAGGGGAAAAAATGTCATACATGCATCATTTCGTAACTTTTTCTATCCAAAACATTCGATTAACTTGTCATGGTCAGCAAAATGTAACCAATCTTATATAACAACTAGTTTGGTACCCGGTCCGTTGGCCGGGTAAATTTTGTTTGAAATATGTACTTTGGTATTTTTTTCCTCCTAAAGTGTCTATTTTGTTCAGTCTGTCATGTCCTCTCTCATTCCGAATCGTGTATAACTTTGAGTGCGACCAATTGGCCGCTAAATAATTTTTTAAGGTAAATTAGTTTGTACCGCACGACAATATTTTAGCACCCATCAAATTGTTGTGCATTATTATTATGATATTACAAAATTAAACATTGATATAATTTAGTAACTCAGTAGAATAAGAAATTTTTTATGCGATCTATGTTAGTATATACTTTATGACGGTTCAATAGAATGATATTGATATAGTTTTGCAACTATCGAATAAGAACATGGCTTACAAATATATGATTGTGGCTATGTTTAACAAAAAAACATATATCAAAATGGGTATCCTTGTGTAGATCACATAAAATCTTATTTTTTCGCGCAATAATATTTAAATTCGGAGTTGAAACGAAATAAATATGGATCAATTAAGAATAGTAGGGGAGATTTAAAAAGAAGAGAGAGAGAGAGAGAGAGTTAAGTGGCACATTTTAATTGGGGTATAGAAAAATTTAAAAGAAAAAAAAAAGAAGTTAAAGAAAAAATCTGATTGGTCGGAAGGGTACTGACGTGGATGCGTAGTAGGGCTGGAATTTTGAAATGGTGAAGGTAGTTTTTGGAAAAGCCTTTATATATTTTATAAATTTTGATTAACCTACAAAGATATAAACAATAATTTATCATCTAGATAGATACAAACAACAACATATATAAATTAATAAATACATATAAACACGCACGCCCGGTGGGATTCGAACCCACAATCCCCTAATTAGAAGTCAGATGCCTTAATCCATTAGGCCACGGGCGCTTATAACATTCACTATTACATTAAACATAATTAAACTAATAATCTCATATTCCAGCTAATAAAACAATCAGGGAAGAGTTCAGTAGGTAGATGATCACACCAGGGAGCTCAGCCTTGGCCTCCGGTGACGGTTCTATCCGGGAAGAGCCATCGGTGAAGCTTGATTTTCCTAGAAGCCACTTTGAAAAATCCCAGCTCCTCCGATCACCGCCGAAAAGATTCATCGTACCCCCTAAAATGGAAGCTGTGGATGGCCTCGTATCGATCCCCTTTCTTCTCTGCGACATGCTGGATTGGCACGCAGATTTAGGCGGTGATCCCCAGCCGCTTGTCGAGGTCGCCGATGCAGAGTTTGTTCGAGAAAGGGACCAGGTCACCGACCGCGAGTTGCCCAGGTTTCTGACTGAATTTTCAGCACTGCTGGGCTTCCCCTGTCTCGCTCATCTTTACTCAGATTTTCAATAGACTTTATGTATATATATTCAGTTCGAATGTTCGATTCCAAGGATAGGAAATTGCAGTCAATTCATGGGAAAGAAACACATCAAATAATCAGTACATTCAATCGATCTTCCTAGATTTGTGTCCTAGCTGCTGCTGCTTTTGGAACTGGAAAGTCAATCAATCCTTGTCATTATCACCTTGGCTTCTCCATCCTTGAGCTGTAAGTCTTTCTAGAGCCTGCCTGTCTACAGTATATATGCTTCACCTCAAAGCTTTTGTCTTCCTCGTGACCTACTCCCTTCCTCTTGGTTGCAACCAAATTGCAGAATTTGATGATGCTTGGGATGGAATAGAATGTTTGTCGTCTTTATCACAACACAACATACTCTACTCTGCTACCATGGACCGCCTCGAATCCTTCTCATTGCTACCAAAATGTCATCACAGTTGAAGGGTTTAGTGAGGTGAGAATCCATTCCAGCTTCAACTAATCTTTCCAGTTCTTGCTTTGATGTATGCCCTGTTACTCCTATAAAAGGTGTGTGAATCCCATACCGTCTCTCCTCCTCCCTTATTGCTATCGTCGCTTCACATCCATCCATTTTATCCATCTGTAGTGACTCGATCAATAACATGGAACAGAGAACACACAATTTTATTACAATCTATTAGTTATTATCATGTGAAAGAATAAGCTAGTTCATAAATTGATTCATCTTTCACCTCGCAGTCCATGATGATACAGTCGTACGGAGGGACTGGAGTAGTTGCTCCACTCCTAGCTTGATGTTCCATGCCAGCTCTAAAACGCTCCACTGCTTGCAGCCCATTTTCACACTGTTCACACTTGGCTCCTCGCTTTGAAAGACTGGACATCGATATAACACGAATAGTTGCCTGATCATCTACAACCAAGAATGTCAGTCCATCCAAAGACAGCTTCTTGTCCCTCCTTAGGGGTTTCACCACATCATCATCATGTTCTTCCTCAATCTTCGAGCGCTCAGCAGCAACCCGAGGTGTGCTGATCATCTGATGCCTTGCAGCAGAAGCTGAACTCCTCCAGTCCTCAAAAGAGTCCCATGGTTGGTGTTGTTGCCTTGTTTTTGTCAGATGCTTTGAGAGCATGGTTGTCCCTTCGAACTTAGGCAGATATTTGATCACTTCATTCAGACAAGAACCATGAAATGGTTTCAGCAGTATCTCATCGCTCGGATCTGTCAAGTCCTTGTCAACAGTTCTTGAATTCGGTTTGTCAATCCAAACAACCTTGAAGCTAGAAGTGTGAATCCCTCTTTGAAACTCTGTGACAACCTTGTGAAGTTTGACAACCTTGTGAAGTTCATCGAACTGTCCAGCACTAACATCAATAACAAGCATAAAAAATCCTCCTGACCCGATTCTGCCGACAGGTTTTCCCTTGTGAGAAGAAGTCGGTCTCTCGTCCAAGTCTTTCATGGCGCTCAAAGGAAGTTCCTTTGATCTGCCACTGCTGGAGTTCACACTCCGTGAGACCACCTCAGATTTTCCTGAAGAACTGAGTGGAGAATAGCTCTGCTTGGACTTTATTTTTCTGAGCAAAGGTTGGAGGTCTTTCCACTGCTCCACAACTAATACCTTTATCCCCAACTTCTCCATCAACTTCTGTGAAGCTGCTCGTCGTGCTTCATTCTGAATCAAGAGAACTACATGGGACTCGTCACTCCGGGGACTGGGAACGAACATGGTCAAGCGTGGACTTGGGTTACAATTGGCCAAGCCTGGAGCAGCAGCTGAAGTTCTTATGGTAAGCCCTGTGTCATAATAGTACTTGTTTCTCAGGTTACCTTCTTTTGTGCTCTCATCACCTGATGTCTCTATGTCTCTTATGTTATTAGTATGATAATTAGTAGTCTCATACACAGTAAGGATGGTATTGAACCTCAAGCAAGTGCCCTTCTCATCTTTCTTATCGAGAATTCTGATTTCACCTCCCATTAGTAGCACCTGTTTCATAGAGAATTATACATGAGTTGAGAAAGACAAGAACATATTTTGGTTGTCAAGAAAGTAGGCACGGTTGTTTAGTTCAGTAACTCACCAAAGATTGAACGATGCCAAGTCCTAAGCCAGTGCCAGCTTGCGCCTTAGAAGTTTCTTTCACTTGAACATAACTTTCAAAGATCGATTTCTGCTTGTCTTTAGGAATTCCTTTACCAGAATCATCAACCTCAAAACCAAACTCCATCCCATTAGGAATCATCTGCTTCACTGAACTCACATCATCTTCCGTGTTATTACCTTCTTCTCCAAGGTTCCACTTGATCAATTTCGACACCCATTTGGAGCAACCGTTTGGATGCGAAGCTATGATCCGGTTCTCCAAACTCGGTTGTTGAGCCCTGGCTCGGACCATGATTTGCCCTTCGTCAGTGTACTTCACAACATTGCTCACCAAGTTCCATAGCACCTGTTTCAGCTTTCCCCTGTCACCTCTTACATGACCAAACTTGAGAATCGAGACATCTGAAAGATCTAGCACCAGATCGACGCCTTTTTCCATGGCCATAGGATGAAATAAATTGACTACATCCTCTAGAACTCCTGCTACCTCGAATTCTTCTTATTCCAGTTGCATCTTGCCTTCTTCAAGCTTGCTTGTGTCCAGAATGGCATTCAAGAAACCTGGATGATAATGAAAGCAACAGCGTCATGAATTGATGATGAATGTCATTTCCATCCAACCCCATTTCCAAATCCTTACCTACTAAGTCCTGTGTGGAATCATGAATGGCTTTCAGGTTTGTTGCTGTAGCTAAATCTTGAAGCAAATCCTCATTGCAGTCCTGTATGAAACCAACAATGGATGTCAACAAGTTACGAATCTCGTGACTTGCAGTGGCAAAGGCAAGACTCTTCTTCAAAGACTTTCTCTCAGCTTGTTGAGTGGCTTCCATTTGCTTTATCAATCCTCTACATAGTTGATTTTCTCTTATTTCAGCCCTTGCTATAAGCAGCAGAAAGCCAAAGATTGAGACGAAAATTGCAGCTATATTATCATCAACAGGCCGAAAGCAAAGCTTCTTCCCCTACGAACTGCAACACTTCCCTGTGACTCATCATTTGGAAAAGCCAATGCATAGACCCGAAGTTAAATAGTAAGTTAAATAACATCCAAAGATGTCTTGTTCTGTTTCTCAAAAAAAAAAAAAAAAAAAAAGATTATCCACTTGCTGATTCAACTCAAACAACTTCAACTGAGGAACAATATACATTGTACTCTTGTTGTCCAATGGTGACAACTGATGGTGCAGTCAGCATTCCACCGCCCAGAATGCAGGCGACATTATTGCCAGCAACAACAACGGATATTGAGTTACTATTCATGGTTGCAATCTGAGATTCTGGAATCCCTTCCAAAAGCAATCGATTACCGTCTCTAGTGGCCAATTGCAGCTTCCCTCCATGGAGGTCAATGCTAGCAAAGAAATGCATGGGACTTTCAGCTGAAATTCCCAGCAAGACTGCCGCTTTACGATGCACACCGACCATGGTGATGAACATGAGGGCTTCATCTTCAGAACTGTTGTTCCATCCTCTGCCCACTAAAGCATGCTGCTGGTTGCTACTACGCAAAGCGTCTCGAGCCCACCTCCTGATGGCTACAATTGGGAAGCTGGATTTCTTAGCATTTCCATATAGTTTTCCTGTGTTTGAATCAACTGGCTGCTTATAAACCGTGTGTCCCATATAGTACATTGCAGAAATTTTGTTTCCCTCATAGTAGTAAGAGAAGAAAGGGTCGTCCAATCCAACACATGCAATCTGTGAGATGTAAGGTAGCGTTGCGAATGCCAGGAACAGCAAAGGAGCCACCTTTTCGGCGGGAACAACCAAAAGCATTTAGTTAATGAAGGAACTCCTTGAGTATAAATTTTTAATTGAACTTAGCTTGAGCATTATGAAATCCACCTTGGCTTGGACGACATCAGGTTGTGAGAAATTTGTTGCATTAAGAGAAGAATGAATCATGCTAGCCAAATGCATGGCAGGTGAGTTGAACTGCTGAAGCAGCTTGGTTGCTTGCTCAATCTGAGACATCATTGCAGAATGGAAATTGTTGGAGTTGGCTTCCACCATGTCCTCTACGTGGTTGGTTTTCTGATACCAAAACCCAATTGCTAAACTAGGTATGAGCAGTACTCCAATCCCCTGCATATACATGAAAAGCCAAACCAATCAGTTTAGGGAGATTTCTTCATTGAAAGTTGACAAGATAATTAGAGATGTTGTGCTATGTACCACAACAATGGAGACTGAAATTGGCCGGGAGACTACAAGGCTTCTGAACTTATTGATCATGGTGGTAAATCAATCTCCACAATCTCACGATTCACTGGACGTGAAAAGGTAACTTGAGAGAACAAAATAAGGCAGATCAATCTCACGATTCACTGGTCTTTCCATATTCGTGGATTTGTTGAATAAGGCAACTCTGTTACTCAAATTATTTCATTCCTTTCCTAAACCGAGATGCGGCCGGAATCCCCAAAGTAAAAGTTCGTAGTTTTCCCGCGAGGAGAAATGGGCCGGCCAGACCATGCTACTTACTATGTTTCATCACTTACTGGGTTTCCCATGCCTTGCTCGTTTCATCTGGTAGACGTTCAGCTCTCTGCGCTTGTTACTGCGAAATATAAACTGATATGAACTCAGTTGTCTCTGACCATGTTTCTAACGTCTAATTACCCGCCTAATTCGTGAATACTCGACAAACTCATGAATTTGAATGTACGTCGTGCATGCCATTTAGATAAGTAACCCGATCGATGTCTAATTGTGTATTCGGTGAGTTTGTTATAAAAGCATACTGTGGGATCATCATATGAAGGAAAGACAATTCCTGCAAGTTGAAATGCTAATTCGAAATTTATGTGATGTATACCCGTGGGGGTATGAAATTTGGGCTTGGTGTTGGAGAAAGTTGTGATGTTGTTCTATAGCACTTTTTATGAATCCCATGTTGACGTGCACTTGAAACTTCAAGCAGACTTGTTGTGTGCGGAAACGGAAATACTCCAAAATCCAATCTAACAAGCGACATACTTGTATCGTCAGTTCATAAAGCGCGCTCAGGCACTTGCTTTAGTGCATTAAGGCGCTAGGCAGAAAGAAAATGTCTCGCCTTGGCCATAAGCAGCTGACAAGGCATCTCGAGCATGTGGTGACCCGCGCGATGCCTACTCAGTATTGAGTTGTACCTCAAAACGACGTCATAGTCCCCCCTTTTTCTTCCTTTTTGATACACCACTAGCTTAGAGAGAAATCAAGACATTCCTCCTTTTTCTTCTTCCCCTCTCGAGTGTTGCTAGCCGCTAGACTAGAGTTAGAGAAGACCATCTTTAGAGTTGCTTCTTCTCTCTCAGTCTACTCTGCTATTTTACAGCTTATTCTTCCTTTCTCATTTCTCCATAGTCCACACTATGTTTTGTATTTTAATGCATTGCTGATGATGACAGTTTAGAAATGAGAGGCATACATGATTATATTGTTTCATAAACTTGTGATATTAGAAAAGTTTGAGATATTTTGCTACGTTTACATCCAACTCTTAGGCACGCCTAGGTAGGGCTGTCACTCGGTCGGTTTCTGTTTAACCGAAAACCGAATTGTCGGTTATCGGTCAAACCGAGACCTCGATCAGAGCTGCCGCCAATCGACCGACCGTGAGCCTCGGTTAGCCGCAAACCGACCGACTGGTTTCCGGTTTCGGCTCGGTTAGCCGGCCAACCGGAAACTACCTTTAAAAAAAACAAAAAATCTGCACCACACACTCCTAACCTAACCCCTCCGTTTTCTCGATTCTCTTTCCAGACTATCTCTCCCTACTCTCTTCTTCCTATGGAAGGAAAATCGAACAACCAACTCCCTCGATTCTTCTTCCCAGACTATCTCTCTCCCTATTATCACCTCCTCCCTCGATTCTCTCTCTCGATTCTGCTGGTGTTGGCGGCGGGGCGACGAGCTGCTGTTGGGCGAGGTGGAGGCGCTGCTGCTGCGGCGGGGCGTCGAGGTGGAGTCGGCGGGGCGACGAGAAGGAGGGCGGCGGGGCAACGTCGAGGTGGAGGGGTCGGAGGGAGAAGGAGGGGGTCGGAGGCGGCAGTCGTGACTGGTGAGGGAGAAGGAGGGGGTCGGAGGTGGAGGCGGGTCGTGACTGGTGACTGGTGAGGGAGAAGGAGGGGGTCGGAGGTGGAGGCGGGTCGTGACTGGTGAGGGGGTCGGAGGGGGTCGAAGGCGGCGGTCGTCACTGGTGAGGGAGAAGGAGGGGGTCGGAGGTGGAGGCGGGTAGTGAGTGGTGAGGGAGAAGGAGGGGGTCGGAGGGCTGTCGACCGAAGAAGAGTGAAGGGGTCGGAGGGAAAAGGCGACCGTCGGCGGCTGTGACCAGATGCGATGTGAGAGGGTTAGGTCGGGAGGAATCGGCAATCGGGGATGGAGATTGGAGGCTGCGAAGCGAAGAGCCGAAGAGGGTCTAGGGTTGGGGATGTCTCGTTTCCGCTTAGACCACAACGGCGCCGTATCGTCGGTCGGTTAGCGTCGGTTAGCCGGTTAACCGGCCTCGGTTAATCGGCCAACTGCCTAACCCTATTAAGCATCCGACCACCGACCGCAGCACGTTAATTTCGGTTTCCGGTTAGCCAAAAACCGTCGGGTAACGGTTAAACCGGTCGGTTAACCGCTAACCGGAAACCGAATTGACAGCCCTACGCCTAGGTGTGCTAGGCGCTAGGCATAGTCTCAATGCGCACCTTACGCTTGACACTTTCTTGAATCTCGATTGTACGAATGTCATGTGGTGTTAGAATATGTCAGTTCACATATCAAAACACCTCAAAAAATGTGTCTAATACATATAAAGTTTTTTGTCATTAAATGCGAAAAATAAATAAATGATATTTCCTTTACCAGATCTTGAAAAATAAAGCCAGAAGGATAAAAGTGCGCAACACGTTCTCCCAAGCCATGAGTTAGCGGAATGTCGATTCCAAAGAAGCGATATAAATATGTCGCTTGTTTGTCAAGCAACATACTCTTTATCGCCTTTTCAAATGTCGACATTTATCTTCCCTTCCATGTCAGCAAAAATACTACTATATTAGAGAATAGTTGTGAAGGGGACGAGATACGGTGACAACCACTAAGGGGTTGTCAGATTCACAACCCACTTCATAACCCTTGGATACGCTCTCTCTCCTGTCTCTTTCTTCTTTTTTTAAATTAACGGTTAAGATTAAAGGAAGGATATTTTTGGAAGGGTAAAAATTTACCACACCCAATCATTCACCCTACCATATAAAAAGAACAAAAACCCTAACTCCTCCATCCTCTCTCTCTCCTCCCTCTCTCCCGTAGACATCACTGTCTCTCCTCCCCCTCTCTCCGCCACCACAGCCCTCCCACCACCGTGCCTGCTGTCTCCGCCGCCCTACCGCGGCGCTGTCCCCGCCGCTCCTGCCGCGCCGCTGTCCCCTGTCGCGCCGCTGTCCTCCCCCCTGCCGCTCTTACCATCGTGCTACGCTGACCCCGCCACCATTTTTATGCCGCCGCAGGTCAAGACTCTTCCCTGCCTCCCTCTTTCCTCATCCCTATTTTTTTCCAGATCTGATAGTCTCTACTGGTACCAATAACAATGGTAGCACTATTGGTACCAATACCACTTGTAGCGCTATTGGTACGCTACCACTACTCACTGGTACCAATACTAGTGACTCCCCTATCATCTGGTACCACTATGATCTGTTTTTTTTTTATTCTCTACTGGTACCGCTACCAATGCTAGTGGTAGCGCTACCAGTGCTAGTAGCGTTGTGTTATTCTCTACTGGTAGCGTTGTACTGGTAGCGTACCCCTAGTACTGGTACATTTTTTACTGGTACCGCTAGTACTGGTACATTTTTTAACGTACTGGTAGCGTACCACTAGCACTGGTATATTAATTACCAGTAGACTAATAGATTGGTACATTTTTTCAGGTCGATGCGGAGTGGCTGCTGGAGAAAGGAAGAGAGAGAGAGAGAGATAGATAGAGATATTAATGTATAGGATTTAAATTTCAGAAAAAATTATATTTAATATGGGTTTTTAATTCCCAATATAATTAATACAAAAGAGGTAATTAATATATTATTTTTTTCATACCCAAAATACCCTTGGTTGTGAATCTGACAATCCCTTAGGGGTTGTCACCGTATCCCATCCCGTTGTGAAGTACAACTACTTTGAAAATTTATTTTAATCATTTTTTTTAAATCTCAATAATATTCATTTTATTTTATATTTGTTAAAAGCAGTTAAACGATCAAAAACTTAATGTCATATATTCTCAGCAAGTATATCACAATCGCTTGTATGTCACATAATTTCCACTAATATAAGATTTCGTATAATCGTATACTATAATGACACTATGAATCACTAACATTTTCAGTTTAGTCTCGATTCAATTTGGAGAAACAAAGAATTAAAAATATATAATACACTTTCTCAAAAATGCCTTCACCATTTTGAATTTCTCCATTTCTCATGCTTCCACATCAGCCACTAATTATAATCAGTTTTTATTTTTTTTTCACAACCAACGGAACTGTTCTTTCCCTAGTTTTTTGCTATAGGATAGTTATTGGCTTATTGCCCCATTATTTAACCGGCAGTTTTTTTTTTCTAACCATTTAAGTTAGTTCTTGCTTTTAGGGGTGGCAGTCGGTTTCGATTTAACCGAAAACTGAAAACCCGGTTATCGGTTAAATCAAGACACCCCCTATAGCTGCCGACCACCGACCGAAGAGAGGTCACGGTTAGCCGGCCAACCGACCGGTCGGTTCCGGTTTTAGGCTCGGTTAGCCGACCAACCGAAAAAATACATTTAAAAAAAAAAAATTTAAATAAAACAAAACAAAAAAAAGCTCCACCTCTCCTTCCTTATCTACTCCTCTCTCCTTCCTTCCTCCAACAGACTTCTTCTCCCTCCTTCCTTCTTCTTCTCACCTTCTTTCTCCATGGCCCATGCAAACAGATCTGCAAGGGCGACGGGCGGCGAGTCGGCGAGTCGCGCGGCGAGGCGCGCAGCTAGGAGGCGATGGAGGCAGGGGAGGGCGGCGAGGCGCACGGACGGCAAGTTGGTGGTGGCGGTGGAAGGAGGGGTAGCGGAGCAGGCAGGGGAGGGCGGCCGGAGTCGTCGAGGAGGGAGGATGGAGGAACGAGAGGGAGGATGGGGGAGAAGGAGGGAGGATCAGAGGATGGGGCTGCTCACAACTGCTAGGGTTTGGGGAGAGGTAGGTGTTTTTATTTAGGCCAAAACGGGGTCGTTTAGCTTCGGTCGGTTAGCGTCGATTAGCCGGTTAACCGCCTAACCACTGAAGGCATCCGACAACCGACCGCCACCCATTTTTTTGGTTTCCGGTTAGCCGCTAACCGGCGGTTACCGGTTAGACCAGCTAACCGGCAACCGAACTGACAGCCCTACTTGCTTTCATTAGTTGTCATGTTTACTTCCACATGTTATCTTTGTTTTTTCTTTGCCAAACCATATCATCTCTCTTTTATTTATCCATGTGTATTTTTCTTATATGATTATTTAATTTTATTCGGTAATTTTTATAATAATGGATACGTTGGTACTAAACGATTTTAATTAGGAATCTTATATAAGATTGTCAAACCGATTTATACTGTGACGTCGATGTAGTAAGTGAAATGATCCTACCAGATACAATCGATTTTGCCAATTTTTTAACAAAATATGCATAGAAAGTAGAATATTATTAAAAGCAAATGAAATATGCATATATGTAACCTATCTCAATCTAATCTCACTACAATTTACATAAAACATCTAAATAAACCAAAACATTATAAACAAAATGAGAAAATCTCATATTTAAATATACGCTATGTTATAGCGCTATGTACTAAGAGTCATAAAAGTAGAATTAAAAACTAAAAATTATTTACAGTGGTTGACAATCCTCAAGTAAGGAATAATTTGAGATCAAGTAAAATCAATCAAAAGTTAAATATGACAACCAGAGATTGAGCATTTTCATCAATTTTCTTTTCTAAATTTAACGGCCTAAATCCAGTGCAGGTTTTTTTTATTCAAAACGATGCACAATGCACAGAATTTAAAGGAGAGCATAAAAGCGTGGGAGTTAAGCTTAACATGTAGTTTGATTTTTTATTTAGTTTTTAACTTTTTCTTTTAATTTTTTGGTCATCCCATGAGAGTGTGTTAGGTCTTTCTTTCAGTTTTCCTATTATTTTTAATTGACCCGCGTTTCTTTCGTTTCAAAGTGAATTTGGATATTTTGAACATAGAAATCATATTTTATGTAATCTATTTAATGATATTTATTTTGATATATGTTAAAAAATCAATAAGACCATGACTCACGAGTACAAATATACGAACCATGTACCTATTTAACAAAATTACTAGGAGCATCAATATCACTAAGTTTTCTACCTCCATACAGGATTGACGCATATATCATCGTAACTCAGGGAACAAGTTCAAATTTTACAGTGTTACTAAACTATACAAATATGATTCAGTTTTCTACCCATAATACATAACAAATTCATGCATTTCAATCGGCTCGTACAGCATGGTTTGACCACTGAGCCACATTGCCCTGGGCGGTTTAGGTTGGGCCGTGGTTCGTTGTCCGGTCTAAAAAACAAAAGCAACATCGGCGAACTGATGAAATCATAAACCCTAATCCATCTCTGTTCACTTTCTTCTCCCAGTCTTCGCGCTCGTAGCTTCCATCCAGCGAAAATGCAGGTAAAATTCCCTTTCCATGGTTTTCTCTTTCCCTCTCTCCCCCACTTTTTCTCCAAGGAATTTGCGGTCTTCTGCACCACCAGTGAACAGTGAAAAACGAAGCTCGTCGTCTCGAGTTCTCTGCGGAACTGTAAAAATTAAAATTGAAAAGGTGTTTTGATTTGACTTGCAATCTTCTTCACTTGCAGGCCAGCGATAGGTTTAACATCAACTCCCAGCTCGAACATCTCCAGGCCAAGTACGTTGGCACCGGCCATGCCGATATGAACAGATTGTGAGTAATTTTTTTCTTCTTTCTTTGTTCCTTTCTTGTTCCGCTAAGTATTGTGAGTTTGCCTCTTTTCCTTTGGGTCCTTTGGATTTTTTTGCTGATAAAATTTGATATCTTTTGGTGGGCAGCGAGTGGGCGGTGAACATTCAGCGAGATAGCTATGCTTCTTATGTTGGCCACTACCCAATGCTGGCTTACTTTGCTGTTGCTGAGAACGAATCCATTGGAAGAGAGCGCTACAACTTCATGCAGGTTTGTGCTTGCTCCTTGGTAACTTCTATGGTGGCTGGCTTTTGATGATGAGATTGTTAGCTAGTTGATAAGAATATGAACTTGGCATGAATTAAGTGTCCCTCTCTGTTAGGGGAGCTGTCGCCTGTCATGATGGGTGCAAAATGGATTTTGCATTTGAAGTTTGAAGTTAAATGTCGAATAGATGCTTATACCGTAATACGGAGTTTAGTGCTTGAAGGGTTCTAATCCATAGTCTACCTTGCTTTCGTTATTATTCGTCATTGCTGATGATGGGTTTCTCTCGACGTTGAACTTGCTTATGATAGATAACCCCTGCATGTCTTTTTGTTTGATGAATGCTTGGTGTTAATCTCTTTCAAGTCATGAGCTTGGCCGTTGTGTTATCATAATCTTCCATTGGTGTTAGAATGTTTTATGTTTGATCATTGCATATAAGAAGGGAGGTAGCAGTTTGCTGTTTTGCATTGCACTGCATCTTTAGTGGAAGCTTTTGTCTCCTGCTTCAATCTTACGAGTTGCTATGATGGTGGGCTAAGGCTAATGACTCAATATATCTCCTTTCCTGTCTACTCGCAGAAAATGCTTCTGCCTTGTGGCCTGCCACCTGAAAGAGAAGATGAATGAATCTTGGTTAGATGCCTGGATGGATGGATCCCCACCTCCAAGGTTAAGATCCAGCAGTTCCATCATATGAGTGCTTGCGTGTATGTTCATGGGAAGAGCGACTGTCCTATGCCAGTAAATCGAAACGTGTGACTTGTTAGATTCATTCCCCAGTGGCAGAATGTATAAACATGTAAGATCATCTGTTCTCAGTATGGCTATATAAAACTGCATTCTGATTCGGTTTGAGCCAGCTTTCTCTTCAGTAATGCTCAACGAAATGTATCCAGTGTCTGAAAGATAACACAAATGGTAAAGTTTTGTGTTTAATGTCGTTAATCTACCGCTGGTAACGAGTTAGCCCCAAGTTCCGAGGTGCAATTAAAATGATTCAAGGTGAAAACTCGGAACAGAATGTGTTCTCAATTCAGAAAGAGTAAATTCTCAAGGAGTGAAACAGAAAGCATTCCAGAGATGCACTACACTGATACACTGGTATGGAGTCGTAAGCCGAATCTAACTAAAGTAGATAAAACTGTGAATACAGGTGCTCTCTAATCTTATAGTAATCCTCACACAAGGGACCTTCTATCACAATCTGCTGTATCCCAGAACCACCGCCCTGGAGCAACAAAGAGAATGTCTGGTTTAACATCATCGAACCAATTCGTGCCTGAAAAAAAAATCTTAATGGTAGAAGGGTTCTCACCTTTTGGCCGGCGACACCAACTTTGCGCAGGGTTACATATTCCCCACATCGCAATGACCCTCCACCAGCAAATTCCACCTGTAATGTAAGGGTTATGAACCAAATGGATCAATAAAACAAAACTTTTTGTACCTTTCGAGTGCCGATTAAGAAAAAGTTGCAGGAGAAGAGAGATAGGCACCTGAACACCCTTGCTAGCAAGGAATTGCTTGAGATCAGCCATTTTGAGATCACCAACAAGAACTGACTTATGTCGGGGAGGTGGTGTTGATACGGTAGGTAGTAAAGAGAGCATGTCATGATTCTCGGTCTTCCCTGCTACAGCATCGATCCAAGCTACTTCATATTCTCCCAACTGAAATATACATATAGCACATAAATGAGAAGACGCCCACCTCGGCCTCTACTAGCCATTCTTCCTGTTGTGCATATCTATATTCATGCAAAACTTCGAAACTGATTGCATGATGGCAGTATCTTACCTTCTTGAAGAGAACATTACTCATAAGCTGTTCTGAGAGTTGCACCTGATTTTACAAGGGGGGCAGGTGAAACAAAACAAAGAAATCCTGGTTACTAATCTGCAGAAAGTTTGTTGCTGCACTGTAGGGTACTAAAACATTCAGCGATCACGACAGATTATTTTTACCTTATAAGCACACAGATCTGAGGTTACATCAACTGTCTCTTCAATTTGCGGCGCATAAACATGAGCACAAATATGTTTTAAGCAGTGCTGCTTCAGATGCTCGGTGGCCTCAGCTGATCCGTGCACCAACACCTTTATAAGAAGCAATTAAAAGACAAGCTATCTGTCAGTCTTCATATCCTATTAAAATAAAGCTCATAAACTATCAATAGATATGAGAGACGAATAAAGCAGAAGGTAGCAGTGGAAACACATATGACATATCGAACTAGAACATCTCTTACAAGTTTCAGAGGAGCCACACGAGCAATGATTGATTTAATTGAGCGTCCATCAGACCGTCCTTCGAAGTCGATGTATATTAGTGAACACTTAACTTGAACCTGATTGGCAAGCAAATATCACTATTCAGTACATAGCAAAGAAATACATGCCATACAATCCAAGTCCAATAGGATTATATTATTTCCGATAATGGCGATATGTATTAAAACCAAAGAACAAGCAAAAGAGTACAAGGAAAGTCCAATAGGATTATTGATAGTACTGTATCATCAATCTAACTTCTGCATCACAAATTCCTACTGAATCATCTAGTTCCATTGACAAATATCAGCTAAAAGAATGTCAGACCGAAATCATGAATGATCTGTTACCAGAAAACATGAGTGGCCATCGAGTACACACTAGTGAAATTCATTCAATCAACCAATTCTTCACAAAAACTAGCAAAACGAGGGTTCAACTTACTGTCAATTCATTCGACACAACTTTTGAAGGCTTTGTATCCAGAATAAAACTAGCAGCAGCTTCATCAAGCTTCCCATCAATGTCTCCACCAACCTGAGATGAGAGATGTACTATTAGAAAGACAGTATCTATCAAACATGGTTTTACAAGGTACATCAGGCAGAAGTTAATTCCGGGAAATCGAACAATCCATTTGACAATTCTATTGAACGAACCATTAGAAGGCTATTTAGAAATAACAGAAAGAAGTCATAGCACCAATGTAGCAAGTAGGATGTTGGTCGTTTGAAATCTTCAGGCTCAATATAAGATACTCAAAGGAGTCCCAACAGAAAAATAAAATGCAGGGGGCTAACATAGTGTTCTAATCAAATGTGAAACCAATAGTCAGAAACTTGTATTTAAGGAATTAGCAGGACAACAGATGTTTCAAGAAATGAAAACTTACATGTAAAGCTGTTTGGTTCATGTCTTCGTCTTTAACTACATAATCATCAGGATTAACTACTTCGCCAAAATCATCCCATTCCGTATTATTTTCATAGAATGGGAACATTGGCGCCACACTGGTGGATGGTGGAACAAATCCATCAAACAGTATGTCCCGATATCCACCTCCATGAGAACCAGCCACTGCAAGATACAATAAGGAAGTATTTAGCAGTAAGTGCACCAAACAGTTGGATAGTTAGAGCATGGGAACCTCAGAAAGATACCATCTGGAGGAGCATTTGAATTGGTTGTATCAATGACCATTGGATCACTTGAAGTATTATCCACCCCATGAGAAGCTCTTGATTCCTCCTGTTTTAAAAGGCTAGCTTTCAGCTCCTCTTCCTTTTTCAGTCTCTTCTGTTCTTCTTCATAAGCAACTAATTCATCACCAACTAAGGGAACCCTCTTTGACATTGTGACTTTTACAGCCTTTGGAGGTGGATTTGCCTGAAGCATTCGAGCCAACGTGCCAAACTACAATAACAAGTGAATCATTAACTAACAAGTGCAACTAATCAGCAGTCGGAATAGAGCAGCAAAGACCATCAAAGTTCCTGTCGACGTAGCCAAAACTAAAACTTGTACATATGTAGGATTTATGCATGTCTTCTTATGCCTCCATCTTAAATAAATATCTCCACTAATATATGTATTTCCTTTTCACATCCCTACCACCTGGAAGCCAAGAAGCTAAGGATTCAACTCATAAATGCAGGGAAATCAATTAAACGAGTACGTAGAGAACAAAACTAGGTCCAATTACGGTAAAATAAAGTTGTAATTCACTAGTTATTCCCGAAGCTTCTATCTATCACAATTTCAGTGCGATGAATGAAAGGATAGTTGCATTGCATAAAGACTTCAGACAACTACTATCTTATATGAAGCAGATAATCTCAAGCATGAATCAATCATATGAATTTGACACCAATATCAGGATTCACGTGGCCAATTAATCGAGCATTGGGTAAAGATGAATGCATCATTGTGTACTCTACACAGGGGCGCACCTGGCCTCTTTCAGTGAAAAGCACAAGGTTCCTGACATCAGATGCCCATTCAACAAATATATCATGGGAAAATCCAGCCTCCAAGCTTGCCATTGATGCCAGAACGACCTAGATAAGAATGACAAAGCCAATAGAAAAGACTTGAGCTGGAGTTCAAAGTTTTGCCTCAAACCTAAGGCACAGAATATATGGTGAAGGCTAATATCAAAGGGGAGCAAGGTAAAACGTAAAGGGCAAGCTAGGACAGTTTTTCTTTAACATCTGTAGTCTTCTCCGTTTACACTTTTTTCATTTTCTTCTAAGAAAATGGTGACCATCTGTGTGCTACCTTGAGGAGTTACTGCCAGGATTGAAGCATGACGTGTGATCACATGCACAGCCTTTTTCCCTCACACTTATACTGGAAACAACCTCTCATCATACTTCCTTTTATATGGTTTTGCCAATTTATTCACTATGGCAAAACTTTGATTACAATTTGAAGGGAATAGGATATATAACCTTTGGGCCAATTGGAGCATTATCCAGATCCATCTTGTTGATTAGAAGTTTCACACGCCTGCGAATTTTCAAGCTCACAATTGTAAGTAATTATTGCCTCATATATTGAAATATGGGCAAGAAAAAAATCCTAGTACTCAGGAAAAGAAACACTTCTGTCCAGTATGAAAAAGATTTATTACTTACTTCAACTGAAAAGCATTATTACGCGAAGTTTCAAACGATTTTGCAATGGAGTCACCCATCCACTCCAAGAAACTCTTTACATAGTCGATAGTGCTTGATGCAACATATGTAAGAAAGAATATGTCGTATCCTAAATTACGTTGTGCCCAGAACTGCAAAATTAAATAAGCATGATATTCAGAAGGGAAAATCCCGTTAATGTTTAATTGGAAGGGAGTTAAGATACAGTCAACCAATATTAGGAATGCCATTCTCATATCTAACCTCTTCCAGTATGAGAATAAGTTCCAAAGCTCGTCCAGCAGTGTCAACGGGTAGCAATACATTGCCACCTCCTTCTAATGTCCTCACAATTTTCTCTTGATAAACAAGAAGAAAGAAAGAGTTAGCTGAACTGAAATCAACTCATCATCAAAATAATGTATAACATTACACTGTACAGACTATGCTTAAGGAAAAAATCCATCAGCATTGAAAAGGGACAAATAAGCTTAAATGTTAAGAGTCTTAGAGATAACATAGATCACATAAAATAAGAATGTCGAGTGATAATATACCTAAAAATTCTCTGTCTCTTTGTGCTCTATGAGGTTGATTACTCAAAGCATTATAAGCTTCAGTTATTAGAACAGCAGGACGGACAAAAGACTCTGCAACTATTCCATTCAGATGCCTGATGAACACAGATACCGTAAATATTTTCCTCCCAGAATGTATCACCTCAAGAACAACTAATTTTCAAGAACTACCTACCGTTCTTTGCGATGGTTGAAGTCAACAGCATATACAACATCTTCTCCATCCTTTGTTATCTTCCAAACAGTACCTCCGAGAAGATGACCAGCCACATGAGGTGCAATAACAATCCCTTCCCCCTTGCCTAAAATAGGAGATAGAGTCATTCGGATAAGGAATGGGCTCTTACTTATCCCCAGGTATAAGTACATTGTTGTAACACATACCTACCAGAAAGGTGATGATTCTGTGAATAGGTAAGCCTGGTAATTGAAAGGAAAGCAGAATCAACATCATCGAGCGTAAACAGATCAAAGTCCGAAACAGCCTGTAAGAAGGAAATTGAGTACAAGTTAAAGGAATGATACACCCGCAGTAGATAGCAATCAACAACAACCATAATCTACTACTCAAGAAAGCTCCATGAAGAAAGCAGAGATAAATTGTGCCCATGCAGAATTCAACAGTGTGGAAAGAATAATAAATAATCAGGGAGGAATAGAACTACCTTGCGGGATAGATATTGATCATACATAGTGAGCAAGCCTAATCTAAAAACTGGTTCTGTTGAGTAAATTGGAGCTGAGAGTCCAAGATGACTCATGGCATAAGGCAATGCACCCAGGTGAAGTGTATCTGGATATGACAACAAAACTGCATCTATCTTTGACGCTACCCTGATATGCAGCAATAAAGATAACTATAAGAACCAGCAGTAAGCAATTTTATAATATAGGCCCCAAACATTCTTTCAAATGAAAGAGACCACACCTGGAGAGGGGTTCAAGAAGTGCGGGATCAAAGAGATCGTTCCAACCACAATCAACCAAAAAATTGAAGCCGTCAATGGAGACCAAGTAAGACAGTGGGTTCTCATTGTACACTCCACAAAGTGGTGTGACCTGAACAGAAGTTCCCATTTCGTCTTTCCCTTTTCTACTATTAGTGCTACTGCTACCTCTGATGTCGTTCCTGTAAGATCCATTAGTGAAGACGTGAGCTAAGGAACAAGGTTCAAAACTCAATATCCAATTAACATCAAATTTATTCACAAGGCTAATAGCACAAATGACGACTAAACTATTAATGCAACTAAATTACACCTTGCAGGGTCACGCACTGAACTTTCCAACAATTAAAAAAAAACACTCAGTTTCTTAGTCACCTAATATTAATGTCCTTGATTAAATGTCATGAACGACCATCAACAGAAAATTGAGACAATGAACTTTCAGGCTCCTCAACCTGTCATGCAGTAGACCTCAACTAATGTGTCTAGAGTTTCTGTGTAATACTTGAATCTACTGGAATTCAGAAAAGAGAGAGAGAAAAAAAAAAACTAGTTGAGGATATAGGATTTGACATGTAGGATGGACGAAGAACCTCCAAAACAGTAGACCAGATAAGGTTTGACAGGTAAAGTGCCTCAACTCAGAGTTGACACCTTTTAGAGATACACAATAATAACTATTGCAAAATCTTGAGAATTCCTATCAACTCCAATGTCTAAACCCAAATGAAAGCTTATCTTCCATAGAGAAGCTACAAGCAAAGAAGTGGGTCCTGCTACCACTAGAAAACTGAATCATATGTGTTACTCCTACCAGGATACAAACTATAATAAAGTTTAATTACAACTTAAAAGGAGACATTCTCTTAATTGCGACATTCCTAAACTGCCCAGGACCTAAACTATTGGTCTCTTCCAAACCCTTTTTCGCTGAGGATAATCGTAGGAAACCTCCATTGCAGAAATTTTGCATTTTCCTTCAAGTCCGAAAGGGGTGTTTCTAACAAGAACAAGCTACCTAAGCCTTGCAGCACTGAGCACACCGGCAACCATAACCCTAAATTCAGCATTAAGAACAGTACCATCTTGTGAGTTGGTATTATGTTCTTGACTATCCATATTTCAATCAACACCTCACACATTTTGTCGAACACTTTGCCAACATCAACGATCGACCTCACTCTGCCCACAGGCATCACAAGCACAGAGCTATATATTTTTTCTTTCTGTTGAATCACAAAACTATACTACAGCTTACCAATCAATTTTCGAGAAACAGTCTCTCACTGCAATGACATCCTTTTGTTTACTTACCACCAGCCCTCAAAAGGCACATTCAAAAGCAAGCGTTCAGGTTCGAAAAAATGAAAGCAAGCAAACAAGAGGCTCCAATTCGTGAGGCATAATGTTCAGCCAACTTACAGTCAAGATGAATTCAGCATGGAAGCAACCTCCCGTCACCTGAGTGAGTCAAGCAACCGGCTGAAAACACCCACACCGTCGCCGCCGGAGTTCCGCCGTTGTTCGCCTTTCTGCCGCAGTGCGTCAAGTGAGGAGGGAAATTCAGCCGACTTGGGCAAATATTTGGGAATTCGTGAGTAGACTTTAGGCCGTTAGTACCCAAATCCGAAAGTGTTTGGGCCTTAAAAGATATAAAATTCATGGCCCGCCAGAGTTTGGGCCTTCAGGGCAAAGCCGACCCGATACTTTGATAGGGTTTCGAAAGCTCGACTTCTTTAGAGCTCTTTCCTCGCAATCTTCAACTCCCAGCGGCGCGAGCTCTGTTTGATAGTGTTGCAAGTTCGGCGATTCAATGGTGGGTTACTCTTTCTGATAACGGCGATGTTTCAAGTTCGTTCGTGATGCGAGATTGATCGTTTTGATTGGTTTATGTGTTTAGGCTCCAAAGAAGGATAAGGCTCCGCCGCCGTCGTCGAAGCCGGCCAAGTCCGGAGGAGGCAAGCAGAAGAAGAAGAAGTGGAGCAAAGGAAAACAAAAAGAGAAGGTCAACAACATGGTTCTGTTCGACCAGGGTACTTACGACAAGCTGCTCTCTGAAGCTCCCAAGTACAAGCTAATCACTCCTTCCATCCTCTCCGATCGTCTCAGGGTAAGCAATCTCTTTTTTACTCCTACGAACAGCTTTTGGATATTGAAATGCGTTGTTTAGATGTGTGTTAACTTTAGGGTTCATCGAATTGTAGCGGTGGGGTGTGAGATCTGATAATTCAGAGTAGCAGGTTTTGTCTGATTCAGTGTATTCCTATTCCAGCTGACTTGAATTTATACCCTTTTCACTAGGTTTATGGTGTATGCAGTCTTTAGCCCATATAGATGTCACTGGAATGCATGGATCGTTTCGTTTGGATTGGTGCAAATGCACTAAATGTTTGCATACTCAGACATATTGAAATGAAACGAGACATTTTGCTACAATGATTCGTTTCACCTCCTTCATTTCATACGATTAGTTGCTCTCCCATGAGATGAGCACTGTACACTCCTGAGCTTACATAACCTATATGCTACACTCCTAGATCTGGAGATGGTTTTTGCTCAGCTTTAACTTTTTACTCAATCACGGCGCGGGTTCCTTTTCACCTCTCCATTAGTCCATCTGATGATTTGTACACACTTGGGTGGCTGGCCGCCGGATTGGTCAAGGTTCCTTGGTGGTATACATAGTTCTTGTTCTCTGTAGGTTAGCTAATGCATATCATTCTGGTAGTAACTAGGCAGGAGAGCCTTCAGTTTTATCTGATTCTCTACAGCCTGCAGTAGAAGAACCTTTTGTCTCTTGTGGTTGAATCTTGTTGTATAATTTGATTGCTTGAACATCGCGCTTAAATAAGCTCTGTTGTAATTTTGTTGATGTAATTTCAATAGGTGAATGGATCGTTGGCGAGGAAGGCGATTAGGGAACTGATGGCAAGAGGTTTGATCAGGATGGTCTCTGCTCATTCAAGCCAGCAGATCTATACCCGAGCTGTTAGTGTTGTAGTATATGATCCACGATTGAACCTCTCCCAACAACTCGAGTTATTGGGATCAACTGGTTCTTGACATGGTATCAGAGCCTTATGTGACCGAGAGGTCTTGTGTTCGATTCCCGGTGACCCCCATTTGTTAAGCACATGGTATTCTTGTCTTCAGACCTGTGCAAACTTCAAGCCCTTGTGAGTGGCTTTCGTTTGAGGGGGCGTGTTAGTGTTGTAGTATATGATCCACGATTGAACCTCTCCCAACAACTCGAGTTATTGGGATCAACTGGTTCTTGACACGAGCAACAAACACTTGAATCTAGTTTACTCCCCCATTTTTATCTAAGATTCCGTTAAGTAGATAATTTTTTGTTCACTTTTGGCTTCAATGTGGCACTGTCTGTTTAATCTCGCTCTTAGAGAGTGCAGTTTTTCAAGTGTATGAACTATCAAGTAAAAACTCATATTAATTACTTTCCCTTTTTCAGTGTAATGGTAGTTCTATCCGTGCAATGGTATCAGAGTGTAATAGTATCAGTGATGAGTGCAATGATATTTGTATCAGTGAGAACGTAAATAATATAAATTTTTAATTCTAAAAAAATATTAAATGCAACACGAATTTAATACAAAATATAACTATAATTAATAAGAGTGTCATTTTTCCAAACCTTAAGGGGTTGTCAAGCTAACCGACACCCCATATTTTTAGCTCTCTCCTATAGAATTTTTTTGTTCCGGCACGGTATATAAACTATAAATACATTTTTGGTAAAGTAATTCAAATGTCATCCCAAGATCAAGTAGAAAACAATTCCATCGGAAGATATGTAATTCTTACAAGTAGTGGCGGAGCTAACGTGTAATTCTTAAGGGTTACAACCCCACTCAATATTTTTATCAAAGATTATAATATGTGTATTCCTCCATTGAGAAATATTAACAACGAATAGGATGAGAGCTATTTGCCCCCTTCCTCAAAAAAATTTCAATCATGAGAAACTGTTTAAGCTTAATATTTTCAATTCCTCCTAACTATAAATCCTGACTTCACCACTTCCTACAGACGACATGGTAGTTCAGTTGAGGCTTGAGATGTAGCTTCATGATTACTATGTTTTTATAATCCACTTGAATTACTTAGTATTCTTTTAATTTATCGAGCTCATTAAGCATAAACAAAATTGAAAAATCGAAATGAATAACATTAAGAGTTATATGACATCTGCAATTAAAGATTGAAATTAGTTCATAGAAGAGACATAATTCTCTGACTATAAATATATTATTCAAGCTATCTGGTTACACAATACAATGTATATGAAATTAAACAAATCTACATACATACCACGGTCCACGTATATTCGTTCCCATAGCATCAAGAATTCAAGATGTAGAAAACGCGTAGTCAATGTATGTACAGTAATTGAACCCATATTATTCATCTAGACTATTTTTCTTCCTAAGCTACTTAGTTATTTTCAATATTTGCTACCATTTCAAAATTGATGTGAATTACTACAACTATAAATATCTAGACTAGTCAACAGCGGGTAGCGGAAGACAATATTGCCTCATTCCCAGCCGTTAATATAACATGCACAGTACGTAGTTATAGTAGCGTAGTCAGGATTCAGAGTTTAATTGGGTCTCATTTAAAGAAAAAAATCTTATAACATTGTATTTAATTATTATGAAGTAAATTTTCTTAAAAATATTCAGTCAAGTAGTCATTCATCAAACCATTAGTTATTAGATTTGTACCTTACATTTTGTGTAACTCATAATTGAAAAGTGACATTTCAATAACTAGCTAAAAGCCTAAAACAGATAGTTCCCAAGCAAAATATAATACACAAACGTTTTATAAAACACATTTGATGACAAAGAAATTGTATACTGATAGAAAATTTTGTTTAGCTAAGAGCTTTTTAGATATATATAGATGGAGGTTATTGTACACTTATTTAGTAGAATTAGAAATTTTTAGGAAAAAGACTATAAAATTGGGGGGATTTTCAATGATATATAACCAATATAGTCTAATTTATTTGTGTGTTTCATAATATTAGGACAATTAAACTCCATATATGGATGAGATCCTGAATTCTAAACCTATCCAAATTAAACAAGTAGGTACATACATTTAACCATTTTAATTTATCCAAGGACCCCACTCCCTCCGCCACTGCGTAGTTTTACATGAGAACTTATTAGACCGGAATGTACACTCACAGTACCTAATAATTCCCCGTTATACTATTCCGTTTGTTAATAAATTTCTCCTCGAAATTTAGGAGTATCCCATACTACAATTCATGTGGTTCCATCCACTATGGAGAAGATATGGTTATTAGTTTCAAATCCACCATCAATTCAACTCCCCAATAAGCTGATGGATGGTAATTAAGATAAACACCGGATTAAATGCCGACAATCTTACATAACCTACTACTCGACTCACAACCACAAAACTATAATATCATCATCATTAGGCTCTTCCTGTGAGCCAAAAACAAGATTTACCCCCGGATTTGCCCCGCGCCCAAAGAAACATCACAAATACGCCAACTAGGCCAACAGGTTGCCAGCCCAGCAGCCCACTTGCCAACATGGCTGCTGCCTGTATCTGTAGGCAACCTTCCTGAGAATATTATATTATTATTCCCATTGGCCACGCCCCCAAGTTAAAGATAAATATCGGCTTTTATGCCTTTTATCTTTCCATTCTCTCTCATACGTGGAAATTAAGGTTAGGCCAAAAGAAGAGAGAGAAGAGGTAGTAAAGGTACCTTCCCTTCCCTTCCTGTGTGTGAACATGTCCTCCCATCAGACCATCGCAGCAGTCTTATTATTAGCACACATTTTATTTAGTTCCACTATCAACTTTTTTTATATATATATTCCAACGTGATTATGGTCATGATCAAGATCAAGATCAAGATCAAGATCAACCACCGCTAAGCACCCAATCCATCTTTGTTCCCTTTTGTTTATCTCAACATGGACAAACACTAGGTTCCTTCCACACTAATATCTTTTTTCATAAACACTCTTTATCTGAAAGAAAACAATGGATAAATCATTTAAATGTCTTATTTTGAGATGACACTGTGCAGTTTCAGATTTAATCGTACAGTTTTTCCGTTATGCAGATTGATCTTTATGATAATATATCTGTTAATCAAATCATTTGCTGAATATTCTTGAGATAATCATTGATTTAGACGAACACACGAGAGATCAATAGTAGTAAATGTAAAATGAGAAAAAATGATTGTGAAATATATTCGGATATTATTTTGCAATTAAGAGTTAAAAAAAGACCTAATTTTTCCAGCTATCTTTTTGTCTTGTAATATACAAATTATGATAGTTTTTTTTTTCTTCTCCCTTTTGTGCAACTTGCTTTGTGCACAAGCACACCCCTACCCACATTCCTCTTCTCTTCCTCTTTCTCCTATCTCCACATCATCATAAGATTCTAAAATCTACAACTAAAAGAAAAAGAAACAAAAGGAGAAAGGGAAATTACAAACAACAAAATTACCCACAAGGAGGAAAGAAAAGGGAAACTAAAAAAAAAGTGAAAAGATTGGATCTTTGCATTGTGATGATGATAAAGAAATGCTACAAAGCTCCAATAATCCTCTGTTTTTTACTGCATTCAAACGCCACCATCTCCATCTCCCTCACCGACCTCTTCCCATTACACCCACCACCACCGTCACCGCTGCTCCCGGGGAGTTTAAATATGTTCACCCCGAAAAGCCGGACCATGTGAACCGGTTGGACCACCGAGCAAACCGCCTGGTTCGGCCCAACCCTGGGCCTCCAGTCGATGTACAGCTGCTGCTCCTCGCCCGCGGCGGCTGCGAATCTCTGGAAGCTGACAATGTCGCCGGCTTTCAATCCCTTCTCCTTCACGAACCGGCTCCACCCTTTTGTCAGCACGTAGCTCTGGCTGCTGTTCCAGTACGAGTACCTGAACCGCCACACTTTCCCCGCCGCGTCCTCGAAGTTCAGCAGCACGCCTTTCGTCGTGCTGCTGCTATTCCCACCGCTCTGCAGTGGGAAATGCTTCTCGGCGTGCTGTTTCGGGATCACGAGTCGGTTCAATTTCCCCACGTCGCTCGGGGTAACCGCTTTTTCGAACAGCGGCTCCCGGGTCGACCGTTCGAACCGGTCCGACCCGGAATTTGGATTGAACCGGGTGATGCTCTGTTTCATCCCCTGCCCTTTCCGGCGGCTCTGCTCCAGCTCGTCGTCGTAGGTGTGCTTTCGCAGCATGTCGACGATCTCGGCCTTGGAATGGGAGTTGAGGAAATTGGACTCCAGCTCGATGCCGTCGTCGTCCGGTTCGCCGCCGGAGGCCGGCGAATTAGGAGGGGGCTTGAAATTGGTGACGGCGTCGCGGCCGCGGAAGCGTCGGGCGGCGATGTCGTAGGCGCGTGCGGCGTCGTCCTCGCGGTTGAAGGTGCCGAGCCAGACGCGCTGGTGCTTCTCGTAAATCTGGGCACCCCACCGGCCGTTGGGCTGGGGGACGACGCCTTTGTATTTCGAGGAAGGGAGCTTGCGGGACTCTGCTTCGATGCCGGATTCAGGGTCGAGGACGACGCTGCTGCTGGCGCCGCTGCCGACGCGGCAGAGGGATGACTTGGCGGGAGCGGTGGGGAAAGGGAGGAGGGCGGGCGGCGGCGGCGGTAGTGGGGAGATGCAGTGATTGGAGTCGGTGCTGGTGGTGCTGTTGTCGTCGGTGGAGGAGGAACTGATTCCGTCCATTTTGTGCGTTGGGAAGTTTGAATTTCTAGAGAGAGAAAGAGAGGGAGTTGACTGCAGAGAGGGAGAGAGGAAATGAGATGAGAGTGTTTGGGAGGGTGGAAATTGGACGTGCTGTATATATAGGGAAGAATTTGTGGAACATAAGATTTTTTTTTTTTTTTTGGGTTATGGTTTGAGTTGTTTATTTGGTATAAATTAAATGAGTAAGGATGGACTATTTGCTTTTGGGGGTTTGTTTATTTTGTTATTGTTTTGAGAAGGTGGGGAGGTATATTAATAATGTTGTGGAGTGGATTGTAGTGAGAAAGGAAAGATATGTTGGGAGAGGGGAGTTTGGAGTAGAAAGGGGGTTGGTTATTGGTTAAGGATGCAAATAGAAGGGGGGAGGGTGGGTGGGTCAACCCAAACTCCCAACTCAAGTAGTCATACACTAAAAATTCAAAGACAAAGTGGAGAAAAAATAATAATTAGAGGACATATGAAAACTAGATATCTTTTGGAAAAAAATGTTGGGAACATGGTTGAAAAGTACAATAAGTTAAACAAGTATATCGATCTGTTTGTTACCGATCGTGTTGTGGTAATCAAAGAATACGTCTTTGCACTTACAGGCTTGGTAATTTGCAATAAAATCAACTTCTTGATAAACAAGTGATTAAAGCCTAAAGGGTTTTGGCAAACAATTGGTGATGTAGATTGGAGTGTGGATGTGTGTAGCGGTCTTGATGAATAAGTCGGAGCGGAAACCTCTAGCTGAATATGGTTGTAAAATTGCTCACTGGACATTGTTCAGAAACCAATCAGAGACTGCATTTGGACCCTCTCCCAGCTAATCAATGATGATGGTTCCACCTCCCGCGAGATTGGGTCCGAAAGAATGCCACGTTGGTGTTAATTATCAACGTGAATCACTCCACTAGATAGAACCTTTCTACCAGATCTACAGGCGTTCTCTTTGACTGTTATGGTCATATACTTTACAGACCTGATCAACGTCATCTCGGGTATAAATGTCAGTAAAATAGAAACTAAAATATTATTAAATGAAAATTAGTCGGCCAAAAACTCTTGCCACATGTAAAAGGTTTAGGGGTCGTTTGCTTCAAGGATTTGCATCATGGATTTGGTATAAAAAAATCAACTATCATGGATTTACACACAATCCGTTGTTTGCTTTGTCAAAAAATGTTTAGATAAACCTGTGGGCCCCACGGATTTGTGGGTTTTTTTTTGCTCCAAATCCATGGGCACCACGGTTTTATAAATCCCACCTCATACCGTGGGATTTGGAGACAAGCTGAAAAACCATCAAATCCATGATAAACATAGCTCAACAAACAAAGGATTTGCTCAAATCCATAATGCCCAAAATCCCTAATAAATCCCAAGGTTTTTAATTAACAAATCCATGACAAAACCGTCGTTATAAAATCCTTGAAGCAAAAGACCCCTTAATTTTCTTTCTTTTGGGCAATTTTTTGGTTTGACATTGTTTTTGCCAAGTATGGTTAGAGAGTCTCATCCCAATTCTCTTTGATTCTTATGTTTAATGTCTTTTTGTCAAGTTGGATGGGGATGGGGGGATGGATGGAGATAAGAGACATGGAGGAGGTGATGGGGATGGGGATGGCATTTGGCAAGTGGCAACTACTAACAACAAGGAAGAAAGGAATGAATTTAGAGGGAGAAAGTGTACTTGATGAGAATAGTAGTGGTGAGTAGTGAAATGTAATTATGCCACATATTGTGGACCTACAGAACTCAGGACAACATATATCTGATAATTATCTCCCATGTTGATGGGGTTCACATGAGTCGTGGGCAGACCGTGTATTTAAGTTAGCCCAGGTTCATCCCCTACCCTTATTTAGTTCACTTGCCCTTCATCTCCACCACCACCATCATCATCATGATTCCCGCTGCTGTTTCTCTTCTTCTTTGCTAGACTGCCAGTAGCCTCTGCCTGAGAACCAGTATGGTCTCCTTCCTCTCAGTCATCAACTTAAGTCCCACTACTACGAAAAATTTGATCTTCCCCATACCATCCCCAATCTTTTTCACATCTACATGCACCTCCATATCTTTGATAGTTCGTAAGGTTGGTGGGTGATGTCTGAGGACCTCACCATTTTGAGGTGCATGAAACTGCTGCTATACCCATTGTCAATGCACATGTTAAGATAGAGGTTTCTTGCGATAAAATGATTGACCAGCCTTTTGAATCGAGCAAAACAAAATATTGAATGATTATTTGGTGCTATACATTGAAATCAAAATATCGATCATTACGACAACTAATGTAGTTTTAGAAAACATGAAAATTGGAAAAACATAAACTTGTTTAGTTGATGATTATGAAAGAATCAGGGAAGTTAAACAAGTAGAAACAAAATTGTATTTAGTTACTTCTTTAGGACTCGTTTAGTACCAATGTTGAGACTAAGAAAAAAGTATAGTAAATAATGAGAGAAATATTGTGACATGACGAGTTGTAAGAAAATTGAGGAAGAAAAGGATATGAAAAATAATATTGACAATAAGATTTCGATGACGAGTTGTGCGAATATGAAGAGGAGAAAATGTATGTAAAAAGTTCTTTTTTTTAATTGACTTGGTCTTAAACTCCCTTGAATAATATTATTCCAACAACTAATACGACCAACAAGAAATAATTTTTGGAGACATCAAGGAAGTTACTTTTAAGGGGTTTGACAACTAATTTTTGTTGTGTCGTCAAGTCTTATTGCCACAATATATAACATATGAAAACAAAACTAAACATGTTTTCGATAAAAAAAAAAACACTTTAATGATACTAATGTTACTAAAGAGGATAAGGTAAGGACTAGAAAATATCTGTTAGTTTAAGATGCTTTACAACGTGGAATCATAGTGTGGAATAGTTCGTACGCTTCATGTTGACATACCACAAAACCTCGGTTAAGACGTGGTCGATTGTGCAATGTCAATCAAGTTAATGTGCGCTTAAAGCTAAGCTAAGCTAAGCACATTATTATTTCGTATTTTCACAGTAAGTACGCCAATTCCATCCTTTCTTTCCCTGTTTCCACACTGCACAACTGAACACAAAAACAAACCACTTATATATTATAGAAAATCTGCTGTATTATCATTATTTGTTAGATGTTAAATGCTTAAAAGTAGGCTTCATTAATCAATACAGAAACCCACCATTTATAGAGAAAATCAGCTGCTATGCTAGCCAAGTAGCCATAGAATTTGATGGGTTCGAATGAGAAAGCTTTGGCTCCTTCCTTGTAGCTTTTCTCAACTTTATTATTTATCATTAACTTGGCTTCTGCTCTGTTCTGTTCTGTTCTGTTCCTTCCCACTAGAATGGGAAGTGGGCCTGAAAAAGATTAGATAGAAAGGAAGAAATTTTGCCTTAGCAGCATCAGCGTGGAAAATTGGCAGATGGATAAACATGAAAAAGATAATATGCATGGGTTTGGACTTTTGACATGCGCATGGGAGAGAAGAAATTCCCATAAGAGCAGTAAACAGAGAAAGCGAAAGAGAGGGATATGGTATCTGAAATGAGGTCAGGGAGGTTAAATAATAACTTATTTATTTATTTCAGTTTGGTATAATCTGATAATATGTTGGATGTGTTTCGAACAATTATAATTGTTGATTATAGTTTTGCAGTAATAATTAATCTTACAATTCAGGAATTAGAGATATATGGTTCAATGTTATTGAGATTTACTACTAACACCACTTTATAAATAATAATAAATATGTTATATCCGAAATTTCACTCAGATAGAAAAAAATGGCTACATTTCTTTGGTCCTTTTACTCAATTTGGTAACCTTTTGGAGGGTGTCGGTCTGTCTTATTGGCTAGGTTCACCTTAGTATCTATCTGCCTATCTGATTTTCTGCTCCCATGATAAATATCCCCCATCATCCCCACTTGCTGCAAACATATATAATCCAACAAATAATAATATATATAATATAAACTAAAATTAAATAAATTGGTTTCCTCGGTTAGAAGTATGAGTACTAAAATGTAATTGTACTAATCTTGGAGTAGTGGCTTGGGGTTTTGGGTGTTAGAGTTCGGCTGCTGGTATATATTTGTAGGCTGTAGCATAGCAGATCCCTGTGTGTATCAAAGTATGTGGAAATAATAACATTCTTTGTCGTTGTGCACTAGTCTCACGATAATCATTGAAGAAACCATGTAAATCTCGTGTATTTTGTCTTGATAAGATTGTGTTTGTGTGATATTTGACATAGTATCAGAGCCTTCTATGAACGAAAGGTCTTGTGTTTAAATCCCGCTGATCTCATTTGTGAATCACATGGTATTCTCTTATTTAGGACCTGTACACAACGAAAGTCTTTATGAGTCGATTGGCTTTCGTTTGAGTAAGTGTGTTAATGAGTAATATAATATCCATTACTGAACCTCTACCAACAACTCAAGATATTGAGATCAACTAATTTTTTACATCATTATCCGTTTCTTTCTTCTTCCTTAAAAATCAACATCCGTCCCATTATTTAGCTAGCTGCCCAACCAAAAACTGACATCTTTGTGTACCTTGCTTCCATCCAAGTGTGACAAATTGGTTGGTTGAACCAAATTATGGCTCAGCCAAATTGTTCATGCACTTTCCTACAACTTTGAATTCAGTTCTTACACCCACCACAACCCTCCATGTTTTGCTCTGGCCCATCCCATACATACGGAAAAGATTGGAAACAATAGTATAGTTTTTTTTTCCATAGAAAAGAGTCACCCCCATTACCTGACAATATAATGTTTATGGAACATGAAATTTTTATAGTGTCATACAAAATTCAATAACGAACATCAAAACCAATCTTAGGAATATAGTGAAAATCAAAGGGAATGGATAAACTTGTGATAGTCAAGTAATTCACTGAAAACTTTACCTCTTTATGGGAAATCCTAACAAATCAATCTTGTTGGAGGATGCTGCGAAACTAGAGCACAAGGCTAGCAATTGCTTATGCGATGGTTCCTCCAATGTTATCATAAGTTTTAATACGGCCATGGAGTCGAGCTGGAGGGTCATTATATGATATCCAAGTT